TATATATATGTATATATATATGGACCATTCCATATAATATGTATAAGGTTGCTTAAAGCAAAAGGATTTGAATCCGAAACACGAATATAGCGATGGCTCAGGAAGGAAAATGAAAAAAGGAACTTACGTTTGCACGATGTCAGCTCGCACATTATAAACTGAAGTAAGCAACAATAGTAAAACACATTTTTGGAGTTTCGTACGTTGCAAGATCCCATGTACATCACTGACTAACTTCCAGCTCTGCCTTTCTTGAACTATATCAATCAATTGCCGTAATACCTCAGTCAGTAAGTCTAGGGCCGCTATCTGAAACATTTCGGGAACAGTAAACTAGAAGGAACAGTGAGTAATACTTTTTCAGAAAGAAGTGGAACAAACTTTGCATTTCCATGATATCTTCAGGTCAAAATCTGTAACCGGGGAGACAGGAGAATTAAGGTAATAAGACCGCAAATAGTACAGTGCCACCTATAATAATGAATTGATAACGCAAAAGAAACCTTAATATGACGTAAACCGACACCTAGAGCTTACTTCGCACAGTCTATGAAATAATTTTAAAAAATTTAGTCATTTACAGGCGAGACATAAGAGGCAAAAAACTTACAGTAACAAAGAGTTCAAGAAATGCATAATGACGATTCTTCGATGCTTCAACAGTAGATTCGCAAAGGTCAGTCTCACTCCCCACCCAAAAATCTTGCCCAACAATAGAACGCATATGGCGGTACAACAAATCTACCAGCGGGTTACTGCCAGCGCAGTTTGGGGGATTTTGAAGGCTTCTTGGCTCAAAAGATACCATAGCACTGGAAACTTGATAGTCACTAAATGAAGCTGCAACTCCTATAGTAAGCCCGAAACTAATCGTACAAGTTGCGCAACGTCACATAAGAACTGCTTCTTTAATGACTCACCTTCAAATTTTACAACTTATGACACCTCCTCAAAATCACATTCTTTATATGAAACTTCAGAGCATAAACCCCATACTTTTATATTAACCAGTTTTGTTGGCACTTACTTTGCGATTAAACGCGAGGGTACGCATGCGCCCTGTAAGCGCATCAAAGCGATTAACATGCGCAAAACTTTCTCAGCTCTTGCTAAATCAACAGCATGACCGCTTTCCGCATAAAGCAACATGTGGGCATGCAGTTCATGCCACAATGGTTGCTTATCATCGCCTGCTGCATTCAGTCGAGGCATCTCAGCTGAATCACATAACCTAAAAATAAGAGTTTAATTGTCTAGGAATGAAAATGGAAAATTAGCACATAGAGACAGAAATATAGGTCAAAATACATTCAAAAATCACTTGAGTTCTTGAGCAGTCATCGTAAAGATAGTCTCTTGTAAAGAGTCCTGTCTCCGATGTCCTTTGCTCCGCTTAAAATTATCAGAAGTAACAGATTCAGAAGAGAGTTCTAACGTAAACTCCACATCACGTCGATCACTAACTGATTTTACTGCTTGGTAGGTTTTATCTGTTCCGCTATAACAGCAACTCTTGAAAAGAGAAAAAACCGCAAAAATCCTGCACTCATTGTTAAGCGTCTTGATTTTATTCAAAAAGCAAAAGCAGTTTTTGTTAAGTAATTCACTTCGTAGGTGTACTGAATACAACCAAATACCCCGTTATATCTGCAGCTTCCATGTCACTGATTCCATCTCGTTCAATGGGGATAACCGTAGACTCTGTTTTCTTTTCTTCTTCTGCATCATTCTTCATCTCGCAAACACAGTCAAGTAAATAATGGACAGTTTCGACTACGGCTGACTCCAGCGATTCAACAGAAACCAAAGAGTCCTAATAAAAAATATGCTTTAAAGCGAAAGTATGAGTACTCTTCGCTAAAAAAAGGAATGTCAGAAATGACAAAATAAGTCTGTTTCAAAAACTTTGTCGAAGTTACCTTCCAATTACACTTACATTGTCTCCATCAAAGACAGGCATATCAGAAATGACCCTACGATGTGACTTCACAGTAGGTGACTCAACACCAATATTGACTGAAGCATCGAAATCACCAATTTGCAGAAGTCGAGTTCTAATTTCATTTAACCAGGTTAAAGAGCTGAAATTCAACATTTTAAATAAATGTAGGTATTCCCCACTTAAATGCAATTTTACAACTTCTCTAGTTTTCTTTCATAGCCTTCAACTAGGACAGATAATCAGTCCATAAACTACAGAAGAAACAGACGACTTCTGCAAATCTCTACAACCTTGAATTGTATCGAGCCTGTCGCAACAATACTAGTGCCTCATAAGAACGCCGACCAGGATTTGCTAACGGGCTTGAAACGTCCTCACACAAGTGGTGCAGAAAATGTCTACCATCATCGCTGAGTAAGGTGATAGCACAAATACCAGGAGGAACGTTCAGAACCTGCAACAAAAAGTAAACACTTCTCAACCATGAAGAATTAGAAAGTATTAAAAAAAAACCACTTCTCCAGGGAGATTTAAACCAAAAACTACAGAAAAGAACTCTATTTTCTGCTACTATTCTTACTTTGAAATACTAATTCTGTATATGTAAAAACCCGGTGATTACTGTGTCATATATTCTTTACCTGGTCTCTATTCAACCTGTTGCGCATAGAAAGATACTGGATCGATGTTCGAGCTGTAGCTGGATTAAGTAGCATAGAACATAACATCTGAATAAGTTTTGAAAAAAAAAAAAACGAATTCTATATAAAAAAAAAGAATAAAAGCCTAAAAAGTAGAGTACAGACCTAGCACCACATCCTCAGTTCCACAAAAAATTATTTCCAGATTTTGGAAAAAAACTAAAAGGCTACCTGTAGTATTTCAGGAAGATCGTTTCGCTTTGCTATTTCTGCAAACCAGCTAGACGCAACGTTTCGCAGTTCTGTATTTTCGTAATTAGTGTTCTCGCTGGCCAAGATTCCCAAAAAAACCATGATGACTCTAAAACTTAATATTCAATTCACACAAAGAATGAGTTGAAAAAAAAAACCATGGCAACATAAACCAGTGATCTGCAAAAACCAAAAAAGTTTTGGAAAAGAAAAAGAAAAGCACTTTCAGAAACCTGTTAAATGGTTTTGCAGGAAGTCTTTGAGGAAGCTTATCATCGAGATTCGACCTGCTCAATTCCCACAGTCTGCAGAATTTTTTAGCCTCCTCAACATTCGTCGCCTCAAAGAAATCTTGTACAGCTCAAAAAGCAAAAAGGTAAAAAACTTCAAGTCATATTCTTTCTTCAGTAAAATCAGCAAGAGCTCAATAACTCTTTTTTCCAAACAAGAAAAAAATTGACAAACACAAACAGAAAATAAAAGAAACTGACCTTTTTGCTACTAGTCAAATCACGTAATATCAACTCTTCCACTTCGCTACTTGCCTCATTCGCTCTCCTCGCATGCAATAAAGTTAAAACTTGTGCAGCAGCATAATGGCAGTTTGCGGCTCTTTCTATTCCCAATACACACCAAGCAAATTTTGCTGCCTCCTTTAAATTTGAAAATATTTTTCTGAATTTCTCTAAACCTCACAAAAAAAACAAGCTTTTGAGAAAACTTTATTCCGTCTTCTCAATTACTCCTCCATTTGGTTACCGTAATTTGAGATGTTGATATAACT